ACCGGACTCCAGGCTGGCTTCCACAGTGCCTTTCCCTCTCCAGGCCACTGTTCCAACCTTTGCTGAGAGGAGAACCAGCTGTCCTCCTAGCGGGGCTTCCTGTGGCAGCAGAGACTCTTTCTAAAACTTCTTGCCTGTCCCTCTTGGACTCCGGGAACCCAGAGTGCTGGGTGAGCTGGGGCTCTGGGCAGAGCCCTCATCGTGAATGTTCAGGCTCGGGTGCATTCGGTATGAGGGTCCTACCTGGCTCCTCATCCCCTTCTCTCCTCACCTGCCTACTCGGTTCTCAGCAGAGAACTGGACCTCGGGCTCTGAGGGGCCCAGTGTACTCAGGGATGTGACCCCAACCCTCCAGGCATTAAAGAGATTAAACACTACCACCCACCATGGCGGCTAGCATTCAGTGACGCGGACTGTGACAGGTTCCATTTGAATTTTACCCCCACAAACCCATCTGATTCTAAGAGCGGTGTTGCCAGGGTGGAGCCTTTTAGCCAAAAGTCGTCTGCAGTTAAGAGACACAGTCCGCTCCACATTTTAACATCCCCTCTGGTTAACTGGTGCAGCTTGCTTTTAGAGTGGCACAAATAAATAAATAAATAGATAAGTAGATAAATAAATAAATGGATAGATAAATAAATAAATAACTGCTCCACATTTTAACATCTCCTCTGGTTAACTGGTGCAGCTTGCTTTTATAGTGGCCCAAATAAATAAATAAATAAATAAATATAAAAATCAAAACCCATTATAAAACAGAAGCTGCATCATAAAAGAGAAGTGTCCTATTTTTTCCAAAGAAATGAGAATGGGCAAGGCGGGTCTTGAAGGAAAGGGGCTTGCTGTGAAAGCCTGATTGTAAGGATGCCGGCATTATGTTGGCCTGCCCGGTGGTACCTGGCAGAATGCACTCAGGCAGTATCCTGGACAGCTCAGGGTCCTATGGCTGCTACATCACTATGTAGTCTGCACTCAGGTGCAAAGGACCCTTTAAAAGAAAAACTCCACCCACTTCTGCTCTCTTTCCGACTATTAGTCACTTAAGCTGTCTGTCTGGTGTGTTGGTCTCTCACCTGAGTCCGCCAAGGTCCCCCACATGCTTTATTCCTAACACTGGTGACCTGAGCCCTGCTCCCAGAACCCATGTTAAATTGAAAGGAGAGAATTTCTTCAGACCTCACTGTGGGTACTTGGGGACACGTGCCACCCCTCAACAGTTAGTGCCCCCAATACAAATTTAAAGTGGCACATGTGTTTCACTAAATTGCATAGCAGGACATGGAGAGGAAGTAATCTGTCTAAGGTCATCGACCTAGAGGCAGAGCTAGGGCAGAAACCCACATGGCTTATTGGAGAATCTTGCCATTATTTGTGCCACTCTGTTGAGTTAGAAGGGGACTCTCTCGGAACGTTTTTCTGGAAGTTTTAGGATCTGGCCACGTTCAAACCATTCTTTTTGTCGGGTGTTGGTGGCGCATGCCTTTAATCCCAACACCCAGGAGGCAGAGGCAGGCCTGCTCTACAAAGCGAGTTCCAGGACAGCCTCTAAAGCAATACAGAGAAACCCTGTCTCAAAAAACCAAAACAACAACAACAACAAAAACATTCTTTTCTATCTTAGAGTTTAATGATGACAAGTAGTAACTCTGGGTCTGGAGAGCCAATGTCACCACACTTCTGGAATGTTGAGGGGATGTTTGATAAGGCTCTTAGCCTTTTCCAAGTCAGAAACTGGGTTCCCTGCAATCTCCCACTTGAACCCTCTCTCTACTGTGGTTCCTCTGTTGGATTCTCTCTGGCTTTCTGTGGTGGGCAAAGGGAAACAGAACCCCTAAAGAGATCAGGAAGCCCCAAGTTTTCTTCAACAAAAGATTTCAACCAGGGGATTTGCATGCTTAGATTCCGTCTGTTGGGAGAAACAAAACAGTGCACGCGCGCGCGCACACACACACACACACACACACACACACGCACGCACGCACGCACGCACGCACGCACGCACGCACGCACAACCCCACAATAACCCCAGCAAAACGGAGTCACATGAAGAGGCTGTACAGGAAAGCAATCAGTGCACCATTAATTCTGATCTCACAACCTTTGTCTCCGTGAGAAGGAGAAATGACTAGCCTTGGAGGCTTTGGAGTCATCTGTGGCAGTGCTGGCAGTCGACACTATGGCCATGTGGTGGATGCAGTAGGGCCCCACCTTCCTCCTGGGGATGCCCAATCACTCATGGGAGTTATGTCTCCTGCACTCTTCCTCCAGCCTGGCACTTTGTCATTCTTCTTTATGTAATCTTTCCCTTCCCTCTCCAAAACAGGCCTGGAAATCATCTAATTGTGTAGGCAGATATAGGCAAATTCACAAGAGCTCATTTAAGGGGGTGCTTAGTGTTTATTAGAATACACTCACGAATACACAACAAATACATAACGTAGTGGTCTTCTATTCTGCCTGGGGGGGGGAGCAAATGGAACTTGCAGTCCAACCTCCAACTACCACATGAGAGAGAGCGTAACTGCCCCCCCTTTCCTTTAAAGGGTCATGTTTGCAGACAAGAAACTCTGCCCTAACTCTGCCAAGTACCCCAAGTCCTATCGGCGGAATGAATTCCCACAACATGATTGTTTTCCTGCCACTTACACGCTGGGCACTCTGGGTTAGCAAGGGGATGCAGAGGACTGAATTTTGGAATGAGCAAGTTCCAGTTCAAATCCCAGCCCTGCCCCTTGCCTGGGTCCTGTCCTTTCTGAGCCTTGGTCCTTAGTTTGCCATCATCACGGTGGTGGCAACTAAAATTATTGTTAGTTTTATTGGCCCCAAGATCTGTCTTTATAGCCACTATATTTCCTTGTAGTTTGTCATAAGCCTAGGTGGGGTTAATCAGTGCATTCCTGTAGCTCTCAAATGTTGAAGTTCAGAAAGGTGCGATCCTCCAAATGATGGCAAGAGAGACCCTGAGGTCGTTGTATGTCTTAGAAAGAGGAACAGCAGGTAAAGGATGTCTTTTTAATAAATACAATAAATTTTATTTATTTGTGTGGTGTACATGAGGAGGTCATATGGAAATGCAAACAAAATGTACTGTCTTTTCTATGGAAGTTAAATAAAACAAACTCCATAAAAAATTGTGAAGCATCCACTTATCAGAAACTCAAATTCCTCCAGGGTCAGCACTTGTTGAAATCAAAATGTGTGCTCAGCTTCCCTTTCTTCCTAGAAAATGATGCTCTGTATTAGCCAATGGCATGAGAATGTGATGAGGAACTGACATCACTCAAGAGTGAGACATAGGGGGCTGGAGAGATGCTCTTCCAGAGGACCTGAGTTCAATTCCCAGCACCCACATGGTGGTTCACAGCTGTCTGTAGCTGTAGTTCCAGGGGCTCTGACACCCTGACACCAATGCACATAAATAAATTAAAGAGTGAGACACAGGACCTCAAAAAAACTAAGCCTCGCCAGGCGATGGTGGCACACACCTTTAATCCCAGCACTCAGGAGGCAGAGGCAGGCGGATCTCTGTGAGTTTGAGGCCAGCCTGGTCTACCGAGCAAGTTCCAGGACAGGCTCCAAAACAATACAGAGAAACCCTGTCTCGAAAAACCGAATAAATAAATAGATAAATAGATAAATAAATAAATAATAAACCTCAAAGGGACTTCCACTGGGAATGTTTGCTCGTTTGGCTGCTATGCACCCTTTGGAAGAAGTAAGGCTATTTACCTTTCCGAAATTTTTTGCACTGTGTGGTCATTTTCTTAAGACCCACTTCCTATGTCAGAGAACAACTTTCGGGGGTTAGCCAGCTGTGTGTGTCCTTTGAACCCCCCTCCTGTGACAGTCACCTCACTGCACCATTCTCCTTCCCTTCCCGCTCCGCCTGGAAGTTTGTTTCCAGAGGGGGGATGCTCTGGGCCAAACACACTCAGCGAAGTGCTTAGAGGTGACAGGAGAGACCCATAGCTGTGTATCAGCCTCAGTGGGTGGGGCAAGGAGCGGTGAGTGAAGAGGCATTATTGTTTCAAGAGTAGCAGCTTTGGGGCTGGAGAGATGGCTCAGAGGTTAAGAGCACTCCAGGGTTTGATTCCCTGTACATACATGGCAGCTCACAATCCTCCTTAGCTCCAGTTCTGGGGGACCCAGTGAACTTCACAGGTATCAGACACACAGTGGCAAAGCACTCGTACACATAACATAAAAATAACAAAATCATAAAAAAACAAAAGAGGCTGCTTTTCTGGACCATGTGTGAGTTTAAGACTCTTCCACCACAAGCCATGGTTCTTGGGGGCATGACTCTGAGCCCTCCTGAATCCCTGTGGGCGGACTAAGGTGGGCATTTCCACCTCCCTCCCTTGCCTAACCATGGTGGAGTATGACTTCTAAGACATCTCAGAGTTAAACATGCTTAAAGCATAATCTACCCAGTTATGATATTTGCATCTGGACCAATGACACAGACCCACCTAACATGCATGTAGATAGACCAGTTACTGTACTTGACTTCTCTTCGTCCTTATTTAGTCCTAGCTGACATTCCCATTCTCAGTACGCAGGAGGAGAAGGCTCAGAGATACTGAGAAACTTGCTTGAGGACGCACAGCAGGTGCCACAGTCAGCCCAGCCTTCAGCCCCAAAAGTGACACCCAGCAGCCAGTCACTCCATCCACAAAGCGTGGGGGAGGACCTGTCTCTTTCACTCGGTGGATATCAGGAGCTGAGTTCTGTGATCCCAGCCTACAATTCATCTTCATTTCCCCCTGACGCTCTACAGTGTCTTTGCCGATTTAGCTCATCATTTTGGAATTACTGGCTAATAGGATGGGCCCAGCTCGAAGTTCTGATTCGTGTTTTCATTCTCTGCGAGAAACCAACCATCCAAAGCAACAGGGATGTCTGGACAATTTAATTATACCTAGGCCCTCATCCCTTCCCCTCTCCCAGGCGGCCAAACCTAACCCATTTCTCTGATTCAGCAGAGAAAGGCAACTCACCTGAGTCTGTTGATCTGAGTCCAAAGAGGGCCAAAGGGCCTTCTTGCTGGGGACACTCTGCAACTTTTTGTTGGCTGGCACTTTGGTCATCTTGAAAATACCTCAGGCTTTAGCCCACGCCTTCAAGAGAAGGATTTTTTTTTGTTGCCTTATCCAGAATCTTCGACTTCAGCACTCACTAGTGTGAAAAGGCCCACAAGATTTTCCAAATCCCACAAGTCCCAAGTCCAGGAACCGCAAGGAGGTCTCTCCCAGGACTAGTTGGAAGGCTGAGCATCCGATGTCCCAGGTAGGGAAATCTGGTGAAGTTCCACAGGCAAACCCGGACTGTTCAACTTGCACAAAGTCACTTTATAAGTGCCCCCTCTTTTCAAGGAGGGTATATCTCTCTCATATAAGCAAAATAAAATGTGAGCTGAAAAATATAAAACTCTACAGACAAAAGCCCCACCCCTCGCCCAGCCAGCCAGACAAGGGAGCAAGGCGGCCCCACCACGGGGCTCAGCCTTGGGGCCTAACTGCCAGGTAGGACTGGCTCGGTTACCTGGCAACCGGACGCCTGAGAGCTTCCTCCTTGCCTGGGATTGGTGGAGGTGAGGACAGGGACTCTTCCTGGTTGCAGAAGTTGGCTCTGAGCAGGTGGCTGGCCAGGGAACCACATTGTCTAAACTCTTTTGGGAGGGGGTGGGGTGGAGGAGGTGTTTTATGTTTGTTTGTTTTATTTCTGCTCAGGCCGGAGGACTGCAGCCTTCTCTATACTTGCCTCCAAGATTTCTTCATTTCAAAGTTCGGGTTCTTCCTGTTGTTCATCTAAGAGTGTTTCCTCGGACTTTGTATTAAACGCTCAAATGTATGCAGTTGTCAATTGCAGGTGCCTATTTAAGCCCTTCCAACCTGAAAACTCCTACATGACTTTTAAAACCCATATGCAGATATAGATGTATGCGTGTGTGTGTGTGTGTGTGTGTGTGTGTGTGTGTGTGTGTGTGTACATGGCATTTATTGGGAGCCAACAATATACGATGCGCTGTTTGTGTGTTTCACAACACAACATTCCTGAACTGGCTGACATCCCAGTCCAGAACCGTTTGTTTCTAAACCCCAAGGTTTTACTCACTGAGGTAAGAAACCTAACTTGGAAAGCTTTGGGTTTCCAGGTCTTTAAATGGGGGCTGTGGAATTACTACTGGCGAAGGATTAAAGAAATAACACAAGTGGGTAGCGCAGGTGGAGGGGTGCTGTTAATGGCTCTGGGAAGTATCAACGTTCTCGCTTGCTCTGGGCTCACAGCCGAGCAGATGTTAATGCTGTCTGATATTTATTGATCACCTGCTCTGTGCCAGCCTGCAGCAATTTAATCCATATATTTTGATTTGATTTCCCCTTGGCTGTATTTTATTCTGCCTCAATCCCGTCTGAGTTTTATTCCTAAAGCTTGAGGTGTGAGGATTCCGATCTCACCATGGCTCCATCTTCCTTCGACCGGGTCCCACTGCTGGAAGCTCTCTACAGAATGCAAACTGCCTCCCTCTGACAATGCTGCTTTCTCTCCTGTCTTCTGTACCAAGACTGAATCTGACCTTCCTCTCCACAGGAAGCCTGGGTCTGTCTACGTCCTCTGTGGGTAGCGTTCAGCAACCATGGAGTGTTTCCTGAAGGCTGATGATAAACAAAGCCATGTTTAGAGGGCAGGGCTGGGTGTGAGAAAGCAGAGAGCTGAGGAGGGACAGCTTACAAGGGCGATGTGGGTGAGGGTGGTGAAGTGGAGGAACCGGAGGAGAAGGGTTCGAACCCAGCCCGAGGAAGTCTACACGCAAGCCTAGCATCTGTTTAGTAGTGTTAACTGTGCACCGGCTCCATTAGGGTGTTTGCACGTGTGTGTGCAATGTGACTCAATCAGCTCACTTCTTCTTGTGCCTTCCCCCACTTCTCCCCTTCCACACTCTTCCCCTTGGTTCTAACATGTAAGAGAAAACAAGAAAGCACACGATTCTTGTCCTTTTGAGTCTGCCTTATTTCACCAACACTACACTTTTCATTTCTAGCCATTTCCTTGAAACTGTGTAACTTCATTCTTCATGGTGGGAAAAGAAAACCTCTATTGTGAATGCAGGCAATGTTTTCTTTGAAGATTACATGTGTGTTTGTGCATGTATGCTTATTTGTACATGCCTCTGTATGTGTGTGTGTGTGTGTGTGTATGTGTGCACTCAAGGGCCCACGCTCACCCATGCTCACTTAAGTGCAATATTCATGGAAGCCAGAGATGGTGTTGGATTCCCCTGGATCTGGGGTTACATGAAGTTGTGAAGTGTCCCATGTGTGCCCTGGGAACCAAGCCAGCAGGCACCCTTAACTGTGAGGCCATCTCTCCAGCCTTGAGATCATGTTTTGTTCATTCACTTGCAGAGGGGCTCTTGGGTGATTCTAAGACCTGGATACTGTGGATAGTTTCTGGAAAGTGGCTTGGGCTCTGCCCTCAACTTGGTCACCAAACAGCCTCAGTTGTAGCATCTAGTTGGAACAGGCTGAAACTAAAGGAGCCAGTTCCCATGAACTGCTGGGTCTAGCACAAAGAAAGTGCTCAATGAGGTCAGTGTTCATTTCTTTGCCATTAGTCACCTGTTTGTGTCAAATGAAAATTGGGAAATCAGAAAGGCTTTGGAATAAGAAGGCTTGTGTTCAAATCCTGCTTCTGCTGTTGACTGGTCATAAGGCCAGAGTGAAGTTCTTCCCATTCCCTCAGCCTCAGTTTTTGTCCCGTGTGAAAGTCACGTGCGCTGACAGTTCACCCATTTCATTCCCATCACGGAGGACTAAGGGACAAGGGCACAGAGCTCTGGTCCCAGATGGTTGGTGTCATCTCCCTCCTCTGGTCAAGGGTTATACAGCTTAAAGCCATGGGTGGGCTCCCCAGTGCTTGAGGCGTCCAAGCAAATGCCATTTGGCTTCTTCACAGGCATGTGGTTCATGAATTAAACCAGTGTTTAAATCCCAACCCACAATTACCAGCTGTGCAACACTAGCCAAATAATTTCTCCTAGAGCTTTAATTTTCTCCTTATAGAGTGGTGGAAATTGTACGCCCATGAAAATGATATAATGTCCAGAAAACATCTAGTCCACTGGCTGGCATGTAATAAACACGTGGCAAATGTTAACTATTTTATTTTATAGCCATATGAACCAAAGCACTTCTTCGATCAACTTGTTAATTCAGGGATCAACTACTTAAGGGGGAAAAGCTCCCAGAATACCTCTAAATCTACTTAGTTGGGGAGCACACCCACATACATATGTGCATACACACTCACACACATGCATGCACACACAGAGAGAGAGAGAGACAGACAGAGAGAGACAGAGAGAGACAGAGAGAGACAGAGAGGGAGAGCATACAAAAGTTCATTTCAATTGAGATCTTTCAGGAGACCATTCCAGAATGGGTTCTGTGTGTGCTATTGTCTTGGTATGATCTGAGTGTGTCCCCCAACATTTCATGTTTTGGGAGCTTGGTCATCATTGTGGTGATGTAGAAGAGGTGGGACTTTAGGAGTCAGGGTCTCCAGGGTAGTAATTGGGTGGCTGGGAGTGCTTCCCTGGGAAGGATTAGTGCAGTTCTCCTCCACCCTGGTTGGTCTGTGACAGGGTTATTACAAAATAACAAGCCTGTCCTCTCCCCATTTCTCCAATTTCCCACGTCTGTTTGTGATCTTCTCTGGTGCTCCCCCACCATGATGTCATCTGCCACGATGTAATGCAGCTGGTGGACCCTCACTAGGGCCAACACCATGCTGTTTGGGCCTCCAAACTGTGAGCCAAGGAAACCTCTTTCCTTCCTAAGATATTTGGTCTCAGGCATCCTGTTATGTAAATGGAGACACACTAATACAACCTGGAGGAGATTGGTTGGGGGTCAAGAAACAAAAGCGGGAGTGAGAACACATTGAAAGGGAAGATGGGATAGGAGGAGCCACATACTGAGACACAGTTCTGAGAAAGTCTTGGCCAAGCCAACGCCACACAATACTTCAGGGCTTGCAGTTTAGCAATGGCTTTAAAAGATGATTCCTAAACCCTATGGAGCCAGCTGCTTTTGGCTGGTGTGATGGTTGCTTATGACCAGATCCAGTGGCCACTGGAAAGAATGCTTCCATGTACTCCGAGGTGCCGTGGCAGTAGAAAGTGACATTAGTAGCCAACACGATTGGTACCCAGTCTTCTCACACTCTCAATTCCCAAGCAGAGCTCTTTGCTTTCGTTTGCCTGAAATCCACACTTCCTTGGGAAATGGCGCCCTGTGCTTCCTAGTAATTCTCTTTGCTATTTTAATTTCTTTTTGTTTATTTTATTACCTCTAAGCACCAAAAGTAGTATCTTGAGAGTCCCATTTATTAAGGAGGTAGGTCCACACAAATTAGTATTTGTGTTTTTTAATATGGTAGCCATTGGGGGGGAAGCACATTAAAAAAGTACATAAAATTACTTTTAAAATAATGTTTGTATTTGAGTCTTAAATAGCTACCATTTCCCCTCCCAAGGGGACACATGTATAAAGTGCCCAATTTTTCAAACCCTGATGCTAGGCTAGACACCATCAATTTCACTTTGTGTCACACTGATTTCTGTCACAGCCATGTTTTATACTGAACCGTGTGAAGACATGAGTAAAATGTGATCTACTATTGAAAGTGTGTGTGTCAATCAGCCCGGAACGCCACGAAAAGGCACTACATACTGGGGGACTAAGCATCAGAGACTAATTTTCTTCTCATCTGAAGTCACTAAGGTCAGAGGTCAAGGTGTACAGAGATTCTGGTCCTTCTTAGGACTCTCTTTCTTTAGTTGCATATGGCTGCCTTTTCTCTCTTTGTCTTTTCATGGACTTCCCCTGCGTGCCCTAGTCCAGATTTCTTATAACGACACTGGTTATAACATATTAATGTATACCTTTTATTTAACCGTCTCTACAAAGAGCCTGCTTTCAAAGAGGGTCACATTCTGAGACACATAGAGTTAGGACTTCCATGTAAATCTTTGAGGACATGGGTTGAAATTCAGATGTCAGCCTGTGACAAGGTTTAACGCTGGACTCATAATCCGCACCAGTTCGACAGATGTTTTCCTGTCATATGAAAGATAGCCCCCATCTGTTCTGTGTGTTTGTGGTGGTCCCTGAGGTACCTTGCTCTGTGCTCTGGGAACCAGGCTGCGGGAACATATTCTGCCATGATGCTGAGCAAACTCTTGAGTGCAAGAATTGAGCACCCATTAAGAATAGCTTCAAGACAATGACCAAGGGGAGCTAGTGGGTGATGGCCCACCTTCTCTTCCTCTCAGGTATTGTAGATCCTGTTTGTTAGTGTAGGCACCCACAGACTGGTTTATGAACTTTTCCACTCTCTTCTCTCCTGCTGGCACTTCCTGTATGGTCTCTCAGATAAACTACACATTTCCAAACTCCTCTCTCAGTTTTTGAGGAACCCAGCCTGGGTCAATGTCGATGGTACCATCATGGAGGCCAGGATTGAGTC